ATTGGTGTGTACCCCGCACATGAAATATTTTTTCATAAAGGGTGAGTCACGCTCAATAGGATATCTCCTAAATAGGTTATTCCCCAACATAGATGATTATGAAATGTTCACATGCACATTCAATAAGCAACTACCATTTCAATTAAGAATATGCAATTCAATAATAGGAATTACCATGTCATGCCATGAAATGAGATGAAACTCACTAACGCAACTCAATCCAAGCCTTTATCGACTCCCATAACCCATGCAATGTCATGAGTATAAAATCGGGCATTTCAAGCCCTTGTAATTATTGTTGTACATCCAGTGGCCTTTTAAAAATAAATCATGTGTCTTTGTTGGGTATTTAGATTTTGGAATCTCACTGCTGATTCAGTATACCGTTACATTTTTTTGGACTTGCACCGACAAAATAAACAAATAATCAAGTGTTGCACCGAAAGAGTATCTAACCCTTCTTGCTATACCCAACATAAATTTTCTTTTCATGCAATCGTGCAACTACTGAGCCTACTTATTAACCACCAAGAGTGATGTTGGATTCAAAGACATGCACACACCCACACCCACGTCTAATGCCTACAAATGTGATGCCTCCGTGCATATGCAATGAAATAAACAATTGCAATGTCAATATCATATCCATATGTAATGAATATCATATGAATTATTTCAACTACATTTCAACACATTCAATGGCTAATTATATCCAAATCATATAATTTTTCATAATCATCACTATACTAATACATCATCTAGCATATATCAACATTTTAATCCATCAACAATTTCTCAAGCATGTTATACATAGTCTATGTAATAACATTCTTAATTTCACATAGGCACAATATAAACACATAGCGTGCCCATATAACATTATTTTCAAAGAAATTACAAGCTAGCAATTTCCTTATACCAATTCACGTTATAATTGATTTTATCCAATTTCAATACCTATTTCATCAATTTTACAACAATAGACAAGTGCTAAAGATATCTAGCAACCTACCCATTTCATATCACAAACCTAGGTTGAGAATAAACCTAGTTAGGATGAAAATCATACCTCTTGAGGCGTAAAATAACTGTAGAAAACTTCACAAATCCGAAACAAGCTCTAATTCAACCTTTTCCCAAAACCTCATTTTTGAAACTTCGATGAAATCCGTCTTTTTTGGTATGGTCGTGTCGCCTATGATGAGGAGATCGACTTTTGTTCTTGGCTCGTGTTGATTCGAGCGACGGGAAGACGAAGATTATAGAGAGAAGTCTTGAACTCTCTCTTTTTCTCTTTCTTCATTTCTCCAACGTAACCCAGCAGAAAGAATGGGGGAAAATTTTTGATTTTCTCCCTATTTATACCCTTTAAATGTTTGGTCACAGAGCGCCACAAGTTCTTTATTCTCGGGTCCGATTTCGTCCTAAAAAGATAAATTTTGTCCCGATTCAAGTTCAAAATATTTTTATATGAACTTTTTTTAAATTATTTTCTAATTTTTAAAATTTAAGTCCCGGGTTCTTTTTTTAAGGTCATCCGACACCCAGTCGTCTCATAAACACGACAAATCTGTCTGTCTTAAAATTCGACGAAAATTGACAGGGTAACTAGATTTCGTGAAATGAATTCAATAGTGATTCATCATCTGAGCTCTAGAAAAATTTGAGTTTTTAACAATATATCGTTTTGTCCTTTTTTATAAAAATTTAAATTTACTCGATCTTTACATTATTCCCCCTTAAAAGAATTTTGTTCCCGAAATTCATCACTCATACACATTTAACCGCATGCATATGAAACAAGTAATACAATACTTATGATTACAAAGATGTACCTCCATCCTTAAACAAGAACGAATAACTAGTATGTATAGTGTCATCATGTTTTCATGTTGCCTCCTCCATACTTCGGTGGTGCCATAACACTTTCACTAGCTTCACGGTCTTACCTCGCAAAAATCTACTTCTGACTATCCATGATTTGCACCAGTCTCTCGTCGAATGTCTCATTTGCATCAACAATCAACTCACCCCTATTCACCACATGTGTTGGATTTGAAGTATACTTCCGGAGCATAGAGACATAGAACATCGAGTGAACACCCGATAAATTTGGTGGTAACGTCAATCGGTAAGCAATTGTACCAACCTACTTGAGTACTTTGAAGGGCCCAATAAACCTCGATGACAATTTTTCTCGCTTTCAAAATCTAACCACTCCCCTCTTAGGCATCAACTTCAAGAAGACGCGATCTCTCACCTCAAATTCTAGAAGTCGTCACTGTCTGTCGGTGTAGCTCTTTTGTCGGCCCTAAATAGTGAGAAGACGCTTCCATATCAAGTCCACATTTGCCAAGGTGTCCCTAACCAAGTCCAGACCCATAAAGGGTCTTTTTTCCAACCTCTGTCCAACAAACAGGAGAACGACAATACTTTCCATAAAGTGTCTCATAGGGTGTCATTTGTATGCTTGCCTGATAACTATTGTTGTAGGTGAACTCTACTAAGGGTAAATGCTCTTTCCAACTACTCTTAAGATCTAGGACGCATGCTCATAGCATGTCCTCTAAATTTTTGATGGTCCTCTTTGACTGACCATCTGTCTAGAGATGAAAAGTTGTGCTCATCATGAACTATGTCCCCATGGTCCATTGAAAACTCTTCCAAAAATAGCTCGTGAATTTAGGATCCCGATCCGATTCTATAAATACAGGCACCCCATGTAACTAAACTATTTCCTGTATTCACAATATGCAGAATTCCTCTAGTTTGAAGGTTATTTGCACAACCAAAAAGTGTGTCGACTTCTTAACTCAGTCAACTATCACCCACACCGAGTCATGTCCCCGCGATGTCCGTGGCAAGTGGGTCACAAAATCCATTATGACATGCTCCCACTTCTACTCGACCATCTCCAAAGGCTGGAGCAACCTTGTTGGTCTTTGGTGCTCAACTTTGACCTGCTGACACATAAGACATTGACTAACGAAATCTCTGACGTGTCTCTTTATCCCACTGTAATAGTACTGGTGACGAAGATCATGGTACATCTTCGTGCCACCTGGATGCATAGCAAAACGGGAGCAATAGAAATCCCTAAGGATCTTCTCTCTCAAATCTTTCGATTGGGAAACCATAACCCTTCCCCTATATCGAAGACTACCATCTAGGTGAATGACCTAGTCTTGTCACCTGTACCCGACCCTTGATGGACAATATCACTGTGTCCTACCCCTGAGACTTAATCACCCTGCTCAGTAGGGATGACGTAGCTACCAAACTCCCCAAGGTGTCCTGAGACTCGATCACCCTGTCAAAGACAAGTTTTCACAACAAGTGTTGTGGTGTATTTATTCATATTATCGAAATAAGACCGGGTTGGGGTAATACATCCTTTGAATGGTCCCACAACCCACCTCTTTGGCTGTCAAAACAAGAAATAATTATCATTTATTCAAGGAAAATTTGGAAATCGGTACAAAAAATTTAGACTTAATTGAATTAAATTACATCAAGGAAATTTATTTGGCTTTAAGTGTATTTTTTTTTAAAAAAAGACTAAAAGGTCATTTATTACTCTACTACTCTCTCTCTCCATTACTCCCTCCCTTTCTCTCCATTACTCTTTCACACTCTCTTCCCTATTTTCTTTCTCTATCTCCCACTGATATTTTTTTTTAAATATGTAAAGATTTGATTTAATTTTTTCATCTCTCTCTCTCACTCTTTTCCCTTATTTTCTCTCATCGTTACTCTCTCTTTATATTAACGTTATAACAACAAAATTACACCAATTAATTACAATTACCTTATAATATACAAAATAGTTACTCATGTGTTCTAATAAACCAAAACAGTTATACTACACAATTACATGAAATTACAACACCAACCAAATTTGTCATTCAGTTGTTTATATAAACTAAAGAGTTATATAATTTAATATCACGAAACGGTTACACTAATTATATACACCAAATTTGGTTTATCATTGCACAAAAAACTTTACTATTATACCAAATTTGATGTATATAATTGGTGTAACCTTGTTGTAATACTAATTGATATAATTCTTTGGTTTATGTAAACAACTGAATGATAAATTGGGTTGATGTCATAATTTTGTGTAATTATTTGATTTTATTATAACACATGAGTAACTGTTTGGTGTATTATAGGGCAATTATATCTGATTAGTATAATTGTGTGTATTGTAACGTTGATATAGAGAGAGAAAATAAGGAGAGAGTAATGATGAGAGAAAATAAGGGGAGAGAGTGAGAGAGAGAAATAAAAAAATCAAATCAAATTTTTATATTTGAAAGAAAATAAATTGTCAATGGGAGATAATATAGAGCAAGAGAGAGAAAATAAGAGAGAGATAGGAAGAGTAATGGAGAGAGGTGAAGAAAAAATAGGGGAGAGATACAAATGGAGAGAATACAAATTGTACACAATTTAAGAAAAGGTAAGTAAGTAAAAAAATTCAAATGTCATTTGAATTTTGTACCTAATCATAAGATATTTTATTAAAATTAAACTTAATAGAGTAAAATATTTATTTATACACTTCATCTCAAATAAATTTAAAAAAATGTACCCATACTCAAAAAACCCTTTATTCAAACATTAGAACAAAAAGTTGGTCCATGGATAGAGTGCTAAAGGCCTGTTAGGACTGGCCCGATAAACATGTGCTGGGTCGCCCCTTCATTTTTGTGCATTAGTCCGGCCCTAGATGTGGGCTTGGCTCACTGGCTGCCACAATCTGGTGGCCCACCCTGCGCCTCCGCCCACCCTTTCTAAAACCCTGACCCATTAGAACCCCTCTCTCTCTCTCTCTCTCTCTCCTCCAAAACTGTACATCCTTTCTCTATCACCGGCAACTCAAAATTCTCTCTCACACGCACTCTCTTCCTCTCTCTCTCGCGTCGAAATTGAATATGCTGTGAAAGGCACTCTAATTTTGAGGAGTTTCAGCTCTCTAGCTTCAATACACCATGAACGCCCCAATCATCGGTAATCTCTCTCTCTCTCTCTCTCACGCATAGACACTGAGGCTTTTTTTTTTTTGAATTTTGTTGGTAAATAACACTCACAATTTCTTTGCTTTTCCCTACAAACATAACAATATAGAGAGAAGGATCTATCACTCGGTGCATTGGCTAAAATAGTTGAGGTTGTGGGTGTCAAATTCGAATTTACATGTTAGGTCTGCACGCACGCCACGCCTCCAGAAACCAAACTAGGCAATGACCTTATATAAAAGCACAAATACATTCACCCCCACACGCACTTCCCCCCCCCCCCCCCCCCCCCCCCCCCCCCCTCTCGTAGCTATATTGATATGTTCAAGCACATATAGACAATTCGAATTTTTCTTGATTGTTGGGGGACTTTTCTTGTATTTTGCATGTGAAGATCCATTGCAGGGGGACTTTCCAGAGGTTATAGAGGAGTATTTGGAATATGGGCTTATGAAATGCATTGCCTTTAATCGACGGGGAACGCTTCTTGCCGGTAATCTCCCTCAGCACAGTTTATCTTGCCTACCATCTTTTGCCCTTTTGTGATTTGCTTGTTTTGTTGTGTGTTTTTTCATGAAAAAAAGGGTATAATGACAGTGGCATAGTCGAATATGAGAAAGATGTCATATTGATTATAAACATGTCGCTCTACCTACCGACCATATTGTGTAGTTGTGTGCGTAACTTCTATCTACCAAACTTTTGGTGCGGAAATTCTTATGTTAAAAGGACAATACTGAGCAGCATTAACTAAGAATAACTCAGCTAGTGCATGTAACTAGGTGGTATCTCTTGTTAGATGAAGCACAGCTGCAATGTGGTATAGAGTAGGGGTGTGCAACTATCTGAAAATTCCGACTCCGACTCCGGACCTATTCCAAATCCGTCGGAGTCGGAATTTGTCGGCATCGGAGTCGGATTGAGGTGTCAAATTCTGATCGAAGTTGGAGTCGGTGTCCAAAATGCATTCCGAAAATTATTCGACTCCGACTCTGACTTTTTAAAAATAATTTTATTATATATATATATATATATAAAGTAGCAGCCCAACAGTCAACCGACCAATTATAAATAATGCAGTAATAATGTTGTTATTATAACTCTTAAAGGGTAATATAAATATTAGTTATTTTGTTAGGGAAGTTATGGTCAATCAAAAGTTTTTCACTTTTGTTGACATTTTGTAGTAGTATAGATTTTATTATATCAAAAGTTCAAAACTCTTTAGCCATTACCCAGTTACCCCAAATCCCTAATCTCTTCAATCTTTTGGACCACGCCTCCACACCTCCATCACCACCAACCAGACCACGCCTCCATCACCACTCACCAGACCACGCTTCGACCACCACTCACCAGACCACGCCTCCATTTCATTGTCAACCCTAAATTCTAATGTCTTCCTCTCATCTCTTCTGTCTTCTCTGTGCCTCTACAAACCACAACCACCGCCTGCATCTAGAATTTTGGGGAAAATCTGAATTTTTTTCTTGGGGAACTTCGAAAACTCTAGGCCGACTCCACCAATCAGAATCGGAGCAGAGGTGGAGGCACTGTATGTTGAAGTTGGAGGCAAAAAATCATTCTGAGTAGAACCGAGTCGGAAGTTGAAATTCATAGTTCCGACTTTGTCAGAGTCAATGCCCACCCCTAGGACTATGGAGTGCGAACCCATTGTCCATGCAGTGCCATGCAAAGTAGGGTTAAGTTGCCTCTTGTGACGCAGAGAAACATCTATGTCATGTAAAATCTCGAACTTGATCATGTCCCTTTAAATTTGGAAACTCTTTGGTCCGTTTGAAAAAAGAAACGAATTAAATTAGCAGTATCAATTGGGATGATAGTTCCATTCATAGTCTATCTTAGCGCTAAAGACAATTGCAGTTGATGGTGTATCCATTGGGAAGTAGGTGTTTAACAACTCAATGGTAAAAATATCTATGTATTTTCATTACAACTTTGGGTTATAAATAGAATGACATGCTTATGCTTAGATTTCATCTTTTTGTCGAGTTGTGGAAATTAAAGTTTTTAGTTTAACCCAAACAGCTGATTCGGTAGTTGAAGAAGCAGTGAAGTGTAAACCCACACGTCCCAAGTTTGTCCCCTTGGCCCCACAAAACGTGGGTGTAATTAATGCACGTAGTTTGCATGTGATTGTATGCATCCGAGGTTTGCGTTGTAGTCATGAGTGTAATGGGCACATTATTGGATGACTCCTAACCATAAATAAATAAAAAAGCTTAGTTTCAGAAAACATCCAATTTGTGCTTGTTTCTCAGCTACATTATCGTTTTCAAGGTGAAACAAATTGGTAGTTTTTAAGGAGCAATGCATTGGAATGCCAAGCTCCCACATTTGGCTGAATTTTGGCAGGACATTCTACCTTAGCTAATGCCATAGATGTTTTATTGGGAGCTTTGAATCAGTGGTTTGCTACAAATTTGCACTGATTGGACATTCTACCTTAGCTAATGCCATAGATGTTTTATTGGGAGCTTTGAATCAGTGGTTTGCTTCAAATTTACACTGATTTATAGTCATTAAAATGGATTTTTACCCAATCAATCCACTGTTAATTGCATGTTTTATTCATCAACACCCTCCACTAAGAAGTGGCATCATCTCCAACTGGTTTTTTTAAGCCTCTTGTGGAAAGATTTGAATCCTCTCCTTCCCTTTCATTAATTTCTTGGCCAACCAAACTGACTTTTGCTTCCATCTTCCTCCGATTGAGTCAATTGCATCCTACCCAAAAAAAGTTAAGACGCTTACACTATTTTTTGAACTCTGTGTTTAGATATCTTTGAAGAAATTCTTGTCAACATCAATGTGAGGTATGATTAACTTCTAGTTTCTTTCTGTTTGACACTTTCTGTTCAATGGCAGCTGGGTGCTCTGATGGAAGCTGTGTCATTTGGGATTTTGAAACCAGAGGTACTGCAAAGGAACTTCGGGATAAAGACTGTGTTTCTGCCATAACAAGTGTTTGTTGGTCAAAGTATGGTCGCCACGTACTTGTTTCTGCTGCTGATAAATCACTAACGCTTTGGGATGTTGTCAAAGGAGAAAAGATAACACGAACAACCCTTCAACAAACCCCGCTACAAGCTCGTCTTCATCCTGGATCTTCCATTCCATCTATTTGCCTGGCATGCCCTCTCTCATCTGCTCCTATGATCGTCGACTTGAACACTGGAAGCACAGCTGTTCTTCCAGTCTCTTTTTCTGACACAGGCTCTGGACTTGCCCCTCCGGCACGTAACAAATTTTCCGATGGATCTGCCCCTTTTACTCCAACTGCTGCTTGCTTTAACAAGTACGGGGACCTGGTATATGTGGGTAACTCCAAAGGGGAAATTCTTATAATAGATCACAGCAGCATACAGGTTCGTGGCATTGTTCCCATTCCTGGGGGTGCTGTGATAAAGAATATTGTTTTCAGTAGGAATGGGCAGTATCTTCTTACAAACTCAAACGACCGTACAATTAGGATCTATGAGAACCTTCTGCCTTTGAAACATGGACTCAAAGCTCTTAACGAATCAAACGATACATCAGATGAGCTAGATGGGGTAGAGAAATTAAAAGCTGTTGGATCTAAGTGCTTAGCACTCTTCCGGGAGTTTCAAGACTCCATCACCAAGATGCATTGGAAAGCGCCGTGTTTTAGTGGTGACTGTGAGTGGGTAATTGGTGGTTCTGCTAGCAAAGGAGAGCATAAGATCTACATATGGGATAGGGCTGGACATCTTGTGAAAATTCTTGAAGGTCCAAAGGAAGCCTTGATAGATTTAGCATGGCATCCTGTACACCCTATTGTCGTATCTGTTTCACTAGCTGGATTGGTTTATATTTGGGCCAAAGATTATACTGAGAATTGGAGTGCATTTGCTCCGGATTTTAAGGAACTTGAGGAAAACGAAGAGTATGTAGAACGAGAAGACGAATTTGATCTGATAACTGAAACTGAAAAGGTGAAAAGAATAAAGCTTGCTGGGTAGGTCTTCCTTTGTTCATTTTCTTGTTTCTAAAATGTGTGCACTCTTGCAGGTAAAAGAATCAGATGTCCATGAAGACGATGAAATTGATATTGTGACGGTGGAGAAGGATTCCGCTTTCAGTGATTCGGATATGTCCCAGGAAGAAACATGCTTCTTGCCTGCTGATCCTTCTCCTGATATTCCTGAGCAGCAGGACAAGGTGGTTGGAAGCACTTCAAAGCTGGGGGACAGCAACCACTCTGGATCCCCTCTTTCAGAAGAGGCAGGACAAAACGGGCAAGCAATGAACCATGTATCCAGTCCAGTTGAAGGTAACATTATATCCTTGCATTATACTATATATTAAAATTTGAGATGTCTATTTAACAAGTTTTAGTCATTATTAAATTGATCTCCTCAATCAATACTAGCTTTTTTGCAAAACAAAACTTCAGCAAATTTGTCCCACAAGCTGCACTTGAAATACATCCATATACATGAAAATATGTTTGGTGGTAACGTGTTAAAAGGGCAAAACAGCAGCGATCTAACAATACTATTTAGACCTAATTGTTAAATATTAAATACATGAACAAAGAGAAATCAATTACTGCATGGATTCCAACTAATGACCGTGATTTTTTTTTAGCACCTCTGTATCATTGCACAACCCATACGTTCAAGCGGAAACACTCCCTTCTTGTGAAAAATCCCTTGTCATCTTCTCAATCATTTATGCTATCTTTTTACGAAACCTAAAAAGGGGCAAAAGAAAAATGGAATGTTAGCCATAATAGACTGCACTAGAGTAAGCCCCCCTTCCCTAGGATAAAAGTTCCCTTCTCTTACCATTGTAAAAATTTTGCACCTTCTCTAGAACTGGATCCCAGATGCTCAACGGCAAAGGATTCTGCCCAACGGAAGACCCAAGCTTTTCGAAGGTCATTCTCCCATCTGGCCGTCTAGTCTATTTCCTGACCTTGTTAAACTCAAAGATGTATTTACTTTTAAGCTCAACAATAAACTAATACCTCAATAATATCCACAAAATTTTGAAACTTTTGCTCATACCTTAATTGGAAAATTGTATTATCAGTGTACCGTAAGTGGACACACCATTTTGTCCATTCCAAAGTTCTTCAACTGCATGACAATCATTCCCCTTACCACTAATCTAGTGAAAACCTCCATTAACAAAGTAAAGGGAAAAGGTGATTATGGATTTCCCTGTTCAGATTCCTAGATATGTTGAGTCTCTCTCCCGGCTTATTAGTAAGGATAACCGAAGAATTCATAGGACTCAAATATTCTGTAATCCTCCTCCTCCATATATTACCCAAAACCTTCCACTGTGAAAATAAAATCTAAAAAATACCAATCCATATGATCACATGCTTTTCCAAATTAATTATGAAACAATTCCCTCGCCATTTAGCTTTTATTGCTCCACTACTTCATTTTCCACGAAGGTTACATTTAAAATTTGCTTGCTCTTCATAAAAACTCCCTGATATTTCTGTATTATTACCCCAAACTCCTCAGTCTTATTGATAAAACATTTGCTGTAATGTGCTAAAGATTAGAAATCAAATAGTGGGCCTACAATAATTAATCTTCACAAACTTGTATTTCTTTTGAATCAAACTAATGTAAGTCGCAATTATATTGACTTTAAACAACATGCCACTTCGGAAAACCCCATTAGAAACTCTTGAAGTCGTCGACACCCAACGCAATTGCACTCACCTCGAGCTCTTCAAATGATTTTTATGATCAACTTGCTTTACTTTCAGTGATAGGAAACAAATCTAGACCTCCTAACCTTGGTCTCTCGAGATCTTTACTTGCATAAAGCTTTTCTAAAAAAACTAATGATTTTTGTGTCAATTCGACTTACATCCCCTAAACTAAACCATCTTAGGTTTCCAACTACATTATCAAATTATTCCTCCTTCCACTAGGCACCCTTTGAAATGATGACTATATTATCCTTTTTTACCTCATCTACCTTTAGGCTTATAAAACCTCCCCAACCTTGCACACCACTTTCTTGTCATCACATGTCGAATATGTCTTAAACAAGTTATGCTCTAGCAGTCCAATCACATTATTTAATATGTAAAGGGAATTTGGCCCCAATTTAAGGCACTTGAGTCTAGAGTAATTGGACAATGACCAAAATTTCGTTTCGTTCTTTCGACTTAAACATTTCGGTTTCGGCAGAAAAAGAATCGGAACAGTATTGGAAAATTGAAATTCCGTTGTTTCAGATATCTCATTTGGAAAACTCCACTGCCATTCTAGTAGAAGTGAGAACCTATCCAAACTATCTTACACAAATTGAACACATAAACATGCTTTATTAGGACAGAAATAAAACATTGCATTGTTCAAAGGTGGGCCCTTCAATTTGGCATTCCTAACGAAGTCATTAAGATCACATATTTCTGGTTATCCTTGTTCAATTGAATTATACATTTACATAAATTATATCATTAAAATCTCTCCTTAGGTACTATCTGGGATTGCACAACATTCCAGTTATATATGACCCCTTTTATTCCATGTAGCACAACAATGGAAAGATTGAATTTATTTATTTTGAGAGGAAACATAGCTGAAATATATTAATAAAATATGGATAGTACATCAACAAGGTTGAATAAGAAATCCAACCAAGAAAAAATAAAATACAAAAAGAAAAAACACATCAAAACTCTAAATTACATAAGGCTATCCAATCTGCCAAAATAACAAAAAATGGAATGTCTTTGAACTCCTTGAAAACTAGGGCCCAAAATGAAGCGATGAAATGAATATGGTTCCACATCCCATCTAACATTTCACTTCGATCTTTAAAATATATTACATTCCTTTTCTTCCATATAACCCAAAAAAAATAGCAAGAGTTGCTCATTTCCGCAGAGTCACTCCTCTAGGAAGCCTTCCAAATCCATTCAAGTCTTCAATAGACAACGAAGTAGATGATTTAGGATTAACAAAAAGTCAAACCAGCCAAACTAAACAACTTTTACCACAAAGACAAAGCAATAGAGTAACGAAGGAATAAATAATCAATGCTCTCAACTTAACCCTTACACATCACATACCATTGAGGGGATATACAACTATTATGTCTTCTTTTCTGAAGCATAGCTGGGCTATTAATCTTTTTATGTGCAATAATTCATGCAAAAACTTGCACCTTAATAGGTATTTTAGCCTTCCAAATCATCAAGGTAGGATTAAAGATAGGATAAGAAGATTCTTCCATCAAAGAAGCTAGGAAGGATTTACTAGAAAATATACCTGAAGGTTCAAGGATCCATTTTCTTTGATCACTTAACTCTAGATTCAACAAGGAATTGTTAAGAATAGCAAGAAATGACATCAACTCCTTAGAGTCCCTATCATCTAAATTCCTATGAAAACCAAAATTCTAAGAATACAATTGATTATAAGTTTCCACTATAGAAGTGATGGAAACACCATGAAAGGATGATAAGTGATAATCGGAAACAAAATTTTAAAATATGACCCCCCTAACCATATATCCTTCCATAAATGAGTTCTCTCTCCCTTATCCACAACAAAATGAAGATTTTGGGAAAACCTTGGTAATCTCCATGATATAAATTTCCATGGGTATCTCTAACTTTCCTTTCAACCCTATTAGCATCCCATCCATTAGTCTACAATCCATATTTGCTCTTTATAACTAAATGCTACAAAGAACTATGTTCTAAGAGAAACCTCCAAAGCCACTTATCCACTAAAGCCATTTTTATTGTCCTCAAATTATCAATTTAAAGACCACCTTTATCCTTAAATTTTGAAATCACTTTTCAACTAATTAAGTGATTCTTTCTCCCTTCCCAACTTCTTTTCCACAAAAAAATCATCATCATTTTCTTACTTTTCAAAGTAATTTTTATAGGGAATTTAAACAGAGATAAAAAGTATGTGGAAATACTAGATAAGATTGGCTGTACTAAAGTTAACCTACCTTTTTTCAAAATGAAAGCCATCTTCCAACCATTTAATCTTTTTCCACCCTATTCACTATTGGCTCCTAAAAAGATCAACACAATGGATTCCCACCCAAAGGTAAACCCAAATATTTCATAGGCTATTTCCCTACCTTACACCCCACAAGTTTTGATATTCTAGTTATATTATCATGGTCTGAATTTATACGCACAAGTAAGCTTTTATCCATATTCACCTTTAATACGAATATCATCCCAAACACTTCCACAATATTCTTAGAATTTAATATTTTTTTCCTTATCCCTCCATACGGTAAATCATTCCACAAGATTAACACTTTTAGCCCTCCTTACCAACCTACTCAACCAATCTACAACTAGAGTAAAGAGAAAGGATGATATAAGATTACCATGTTTCAATCCATTAGAAGCCTTCAATTTGCCCCTAGATTTTCCATTCATCATAACATAGAAGTTCATAGATTGCAAACAACTCTTTATCCACCTCCTCCAATGACATCCAAAGTCCTTCACGTCCAAGACATAATCCAAAAAATCTCAATTTACATGTTCATAAGTCTCTTCAAATTCAATCTTAAAAACAAAATCTCCTTTCCTTTAACTCTATATTCCTCCACTACCTCATTAGCTACTAGAGCAACATCAAGAATTTGCCTACGTTCAGCAAAAGCATCTTGACAATCAAAGATAGTATCCCTTAGAATCTCCCTTGGTCTCAAAGATAGTACTTTGACAATGATCTTATAGAAACTAGCTACCAAGCTTATCAGTTTAAAATCCCTCATTTTCATAAACTTGTCTTTCTTTGAGATCAAACAAATGAATGTAGTATTAGAGATTGCATTAACACCACTTTAGAAAAATTCATCAAAAACTTTCATCAAATCCGCCTTAACTATCTTTCAAAAACTTTTAAAAATGGCCGAGAAGAAACCATCATGACCTGGAGCTTTAGCTCTTTCACACTCAAATAGTCTTTCTCCCTTCTTTTTCCTCAAAAGCTCTTTCTACCTACCTAGATTTAACCTCATCAATAGGATTCCACTCTAACCCTTCCACTATTGGTTTAACACCCCTTTGAGATGAATATACTTTGGCAAATAACTCAACAATGTTTCTCTCAATCATTCCCTCATCCTCAATGATCTTTCCATCAGTTCTTCTTCTTACCATTTGTAGTCCTATGAAAAAGTTTGGAATAACTATCTCTTTCTTTCAACCACTTCACTCTAGCGTTTTGCCTTCAACTAATTTCTTCTTTGAACACAACCTCTTCAAACTTATTCTTTAACTTCCATCTCTCTCTTATCAAATTCTCACCTAATGTGTTCGTTTCAATCTTTCCAATTCTATTCGT